TATTCTCTCAGATTTTAAACAATGGCGCCACAATTCCCAAGAGAAAGAGAGGTCGATTGGAATCGGGAAACGACATGCACATGTCGTGCCGTCTCGATAGATCGAGCGTAATTACGCGAGACATGAATCATCTCATAATGCTGGAAATTGCATAGGAATCACTTTTAAGTCGATGCTTCGCGAAACTTATTCATCGATGTTTCATCTGACACGCCCTTCAGCGATTCATCTATACGAATCGTATGCGCAGGCACATCACACTCGTGATTTCAGCAACCTTTGTACGTCTGTTCAGTGTAGGTGCTATATTTGCCCATGCATACAGAATATCCTGCAATTATCATGTAAGACTTCAACAGCATATTTTAGACATTAGAGTCGAAGATCCTTGTACAATAAATATGGAAATCGCAATTACCGTCGAATGATCAAAGTTGGCGAATAATATCGCGTAGAGTTCGTGTGTTTAAGTTTAAAATTGCAATCATTAAGCTGGTAAGCGAGCGCGAATAAACACGAGTGAGCAACGTGTTTCAATGAGCAACGACACCGGTCGCAATTATCGAAGCGAGTTGTTTACAGAAGATTAGAATCAACCTTATGTAATACATTTCTAGATATCAATCTGTTTTTCACCTATTGATCATTTATTGATTCTTAATTTAGTAGTAAAAGTTAAAGTAATTGATTTATATTACTAATTTTAATTTCTTAATTGCTGTGTAGTAATAGGCTTTAAATATTATTAAAATTTGAATATATAAAAGAAATCTCAAAAATATCAATTTCAAATTATTACTCTGAATTACAAGATTTTCTTTAAAGTTATGAATATTTCGAAAGTAGATAGTAGAAGGTAATGAATAACTACTTGTTTTGAGTATTAAAAGCATTACTGTTTAGTCTTCAATACTCGAAGTAATTCCTAGTACCTGTTAAATTAGCTAGTGTGAAATTGGATTTCTGTATAAGAATTGGACATAACCAACTTGCAAAAAAATCATTCTATCATCACTTTTATTGAAAAACTTAGATGTTTTGAAAACATATTCTTTCATTATAATTTATAATGAAGAGTTGGCAGAATGAATAAATAAAATATCTTTGTTAGATTTCTCTTATAAAAATTTAAAGAAGACAGTAATTAATTACTTATTTTAAGTATTAAAAGCATCATTGTTTTTAATACTCAAAATAATAATAATTTCCAGTAGTATTACATTGGCTGCGTTCAGCAGAGAAAGCAGCTTTGCAACTGTTGTAAAATTCTTAAATATGATTGATTTATACATTTAGATCCAATGAGGAACTAAGGGCAAGACCAATCATATTGAAGAATTTTACAACAGTTGCAAAGCTGCTTTCTCTACTGAACGCAGCCATTGATTAATAATTGGATTACGGTAAGAGTTGGAAATAACTTAACCTAACCTCTCTTTTGCAAAAATCAATTTATCATCATTTTCACTCATCTCATGATTTCCGAGTCCTCCTGAACCTCTTCTTCACTCTCGTCCTTCTTTATCCCTCGTTATTCAATCGCGAAAACATAATTGATTACGACCGAAATACGACGATACTTTGCACAATATCGTTAATCACTCGCGGCGCGCACTTCTCTTGACTTCATTATGCTAGAAAAACAAAGCGTGAAAAAGACACGATCGCGCATAAAGCTATATTCGCTCGATACTCGCGGCATCTTGCAAACTAACGCGATAAATAAACCTTGAATGATGAAGAATTTTCGCGTCGCCGATGTAGGTACACGAACATCGAATTTACGCACTATGCAGTCTTGACAGATATTTAAATATAAAATCACACTCTACTTGCTAATTAAAGTGCGTTGCGACACTCAGCATCGATCTGAGCATTTGTGATGTGTTCCATTAATAATTCCAAAAATTTGAAAACCGCGTTCGCGCAATTTCGCTCTACATTTCAAGTAATGAAGTCGGGTTAATTAAAGCGAACATGTGGCGTAATATCAATAATTCGGTACTACAAGCGCGTAATATACTTCGAGCGCATAAATTCCGCATATTATTGAGGAAGAGTGTATATTACTGATAAACCATAGCTTTCCGTTGTTTAAAGCACTGATGTGACTGATACTTGTATTTTGCATTTTCAACTCGAAATTGGTGAATAAATGTACAAAATATACAAAAAGGAGGGAAAAAGAAATAAAAACGTATGACGCGTAATATATTCAAAGAAATAACGATTAGACGAATAGCTAATGGAGTAATTAAATTTATGAGCCTTTTAATAAAACCAGATATTTGTTTCAAGAAACAATTATTGCCTTAACAAGTTTACGTCCGGGCTCGAGATTCGATTAATCGTAAGAATTGATTAATTATATGATATTAATTATTTTTTATTTAATTCTGATTGGTTTAAATATTCTGAAGTAGCTATCTACAAGATGTTTCAATTCGATGACTTACGACAATTATTATTTCCTTTCTTGTATTTTTATTTTTATTTTTGTATTTCTTAATGTCGATTTCACAATTGACTTTACGATTGACACTACGAACGTTATGTCGTCTTGTAACTTATTTAATATTTCTTTCTTATCAACTGAATTTATGGAATATATATTTTTGTGCAGTTATGGTGTACAGTAAGTAGATCTCCATACAAGTTATGGTTTTCCAATGTTTGTCTCTAACGATTTTGTTGTTTGATTTAGTTTCATTCAGTTAATCAACTAATTGAGGGTTACACTCACTCTCCAGATAAGGTAATTCGTGAGATTTGCTTACTGCACTCCAGGGTCTGAATTTTGGATCGTCTTCCTGTTAGGGTTATGAACTGCAAAATGCTGAGGATGGCTTGAACATAGCCGAAACGTTCATGTAATAAATAATTTTTCAATTATATGTATATAAGTACCGCACAAATTACTGCGTTTTTTAGGCTCTTAATTTTTTAGGCCCGTTATTTAGTTTTATGTATTTTAATTAATTAGCTCAAGAGCCCAATTGATTGATTTATTGGTTTAAATTATTTTTTACTTTTATTACATGTAACGTACCTGTTGTAATTTTCTACTCAACAATATAACTATAATGTAACACGTGTGTTATAGTTATATTGTTGAGTAGGAAATTAGAACTAATAGATATATTACATATAATTTTGTAAAACGGTACGTAGACACGGACGAAGACACACGTCTAATCGATAAATTTTATATAATTTGTATTCTTATCATGCGTAACAGGATGGAGGTGCAAGTTATTAGTACAACCGATCTTACAAATCTTGACTTGTGAAGAAGAGCCGTTTACATGTTCAAATGAGAAATTACTCGGGGTTGACTAATTGCGCCTACATTCAGAACAGTGCATTTAAAATTTTTGGATTATTAAGTCTAATGTTATATCATGAAGATGGCTGAAAAAAACAGCCGAAACGTCGGAAATATATGTACAGGAGAAGAATTATAACGTACATTAATAACAACTATGTACAAGTTCTTAGTTGCTTATTAATTTTGTAATTTTGTTTTTATATAATTTTGTGTTTGCTGGGTTTATTCTGATCGAGGTATATATAAAGCGACGTCTGCCGAACGTTATCTACCCACAAATCTCACCTCATAAATGAAGATTGGCAAGGTTATTACTCGACACAATTTCATTCCGTTGAACAAATAAACAAAGAACGCCACGCGCGAATCAATATGTCGCTATGAAATAATTAAACGTTTAAACCAAAAAAAGATTAGAGCGTACATTGAAAAAAAATTATATCTTAATAAATATTTCTTTTAATAATAACGCCGAGTCCACAATAGAAATCGTAGGGTTTCAAATCGTAGAAAATTGAATAATTACAGTCCAAGATGAAAAGAATAATCGACTATGATTAGCCAATTTTCTACGACTTAAGACCTTACGACGTAATGTTTGCTTACAAATATTCAAACAAATATTTAAGATATAGTAATTTTTTTTTTAGTGTAGACTGCGCTACTCCACCAAACCGATCGAAAAACTGGATAGACAGGACGAGAAGACGGCCGATCTCTAGTCTTGTCTATTAAGTAGTAATGATAAAGCACGAAATTTTTATCATCTTAGTAATAAACAATCGAGTAACATCTTCATTTCTGTTATAAAGATGCATCGATTTCTTCTCCCATCGGTATGACTCAAATGGACATCGCAGATACAAGTATTCAAGAATAAATCATAATGAAACTTCCGCTTATTCATCATTACCATGAATTAAATTATCAAATTCTTAATGTGTCGTTTGTTTAAATCTTATCGCGAAGAATAAATCTATTATTTTTATTTTAAGCGATTTCTACGCTTTGCCAATCCTGGTACCACTCTTTTCTATTTGTAGTTTCAAAAATAAATCTTTAATGTTTACAGAGTTGCAAAGAGCAAACGTGCGCTTGGATAGACAATGAGTCTCATTGAGAGGAGTCGGCGAATGACTCTTGTCAACGTGAGAGCCTCAAGTTGTCGCAATCGGCCGATTGACCCTCGACCTATCATCCTGTCTGTCGTCATTATTTGGCGATCCTAAATGTTTCTGTTTACCCCTAATTTATTTACCCTTATTCTTCCATTCCTCTCAATCTAATAGTACGCTTTTCGCGAAATTTCTTATTGTCTTTTGCTGTCGTGGACATGGAAGGAATTTTTAGACAATAAAAAGTTTCGTCATCTATCCTCATAAATTTTCTTAACCCTTATCCATATCCGTAGTTTTTAAGTTGATTTCCCCAAAGGGGAAACCGAGAGTTTCGACCTTTAAATGCGATAGAACAAAGTCATTCGTCTTCTTATTCTCGTCCTCGGCTACTTCCACCTACTCCCACGACATTCTGTCTAGGCAACAGCGACAACGACGAACCAACGACACGAACGAGGTGTGCGCGAATCCCCACCTTTTTCGCTACGGATGACCTCCTCGTGGTCGCGTTCGAACAGCTTCGCAGGGATAAATGTACACTTGGCGTCGTCCACGAGGCTTTTAGCGTCGGCAGAACAAGACCGTCGCTCGTGTTAGTCGTGCTCGATTGGTGGAACGGAATTTCGTACGACGACGAGGAGTTTTGTTGCGTGTACCCGATCGATTGTTAATATATGATCATTATCGAAGATTAAAAGAATTTTCAACTTTCATGAAGTTCGCCTTCAGTGGAACCGGCGGGATGTTGGACCGCGTCAGCAGCAGCTTCGTAAGTCTTCATCGAAGCTGATGGGGTGGCTATCTTCTGCAGTGATTTTAACGCTAGAAGGACGGAAATCGTTCATTATTTTTACGAGTATCGCAAATTGCGTGATCTTCATACATCGTAATTCTATTCAGTGAAACATTGCAAAATTTGGAAACTAATAAAAATTAAGTGAACTACAATTAACTAAGAGAAGACACTGCATCTATCGAAATAATAAGTGCGCTCCTTCTAGTGTTAAACATTGTGAATATCTTCAATGTACGTACGAATGTGTTTAATAAATTAAATGAGAAATTTAAATAGCGAAAAGAGATAAATATGAATCTAAAAGAGTGTTAAAACTGTGTGTGTCAACATTTTTCATACAGTAATATCCTGGATATATCAAGATGGTTCAGGTATTAGTCATATAAAAACAAGCAATTTATTCTTTAATCATTCTTTTGCTTACAAAAAAAACATTTTTTCGCCTAATAGCTGTTTGTATAATTAATATTGGATCATCTCGATAATTCTTCTTATTCAATATTTCGATATTTCTTTATAGATGCAAATCATAATAATCTACTTAAAATTCTTTTGGATCTGACAAATGCAAACTTGTAAATATTATTTAAGTAATTTTAATATGCTATTATATAATTTTCAGTAATTACAATACAGATTAGAAATGATTATTTCGGTTATACAAGATGTAATACCCCGAAACACTACCGGTGTTCCGATATAATGAATAATATGTGGAATCTATCCAGGAGAAGGAAGGGGGATATTATTTACATATTGTATCCAACTGAATTTTTTTTTATTGTTTTATTATTGAAATTATTTCCCAAATAGTTTCATATATTATGGAATACCCTGTAATTTTCAAATTAATATGACGAGTTTTGTATAAGAAAAATCATTAAAAAATAGAGGCAAGGTTTCTTGGCATTTATGAATCATTTCCATTCGTTAGATCATAATGCATGATACTATCATGTAACAATTACATGTAACGATGACCTCGTTTGTACGATCAAGTACGCTTATAGATTATTTTTCATAAATCTACGTGACATCTCATTATTGATTGTTATAGTTACAATATTATATTGTCGATTTACAAAGAATATTATTAAAACATGCTTATTTTAGCAAAAGCAATTACTTTAGTCAAAATACCGTAAAATACTAAATCTCACGCAGTTGCACATTAAAAAATAGAAAAGATATTCTTCAATAAGCACAATTGTACCAAACCAAGGTCATCGCATCTCGATCAAACACAGGTGACCTACTACTGTGCATAAGCAGATACCTTTCATGCTGGGAGGAAGTACGTAACGCGAAGACGTAACACGTGACCGTGAGACCAACAAATGAATTGCGCGTAAATGCTCTGCTCATAATATCATGACGTGATTTAGAGAAACAATGAAATTTCTATATTAACTTGTAAGAGAGTTAGAGGTCCCATAATAATAATCTACGTACGGTAATTTCTGGCACGGTATATAATCCCATTACGTGAAGGCTCCATCCTTTCATGAATTAATCCTTCATAATTATTTTTTTGAAAAAGAAAGCTAAACCCATTAAGGGAGACTAGAGATGAAAGTAACAGCCGGTTACATTTATTCGTGCATTTAAGCTATAATCTTCAAATTCGACTTAAATTATTTAGGCCCTTTGCTATAAATTGAGAGGTGATCCAATCTGACTTTAGGTTAGGCTTTTTTGATATCTTCACCTAAAATTGGCCGCCTATAATTTTGGAGTATATTCGCACTAATTAATTACTTACAACCATCAATTGTTAACCATCAAATTGTCCACCTGAAAAAATTGTTTTGAATATACTCGCAATGTTACATTCTTTCTGTTATTTTCAACTCTAATCTATCCCTACTCCGCGTACACGTTGCTGTATATTTTACTTGATGCAAAATCTTAGACTATTTTTATATCGATATCACATAGACACCTTTATCGATATTATCTTTTGTTCTTGACGTCAATAATTTATAAGTAAATAAAGTGCATTCCACAATATAAAAATTATTTAAGATTTTATTTTTGCATTATAGTTCGGTGATGATCATAAAAAATAACGTTGTAAAGTATGGAAATTCGTAAATGGTGATTTATTACCGAAGGACATTACCCAGTATAGGTTGTTCGTTCCTTTAACAACCATATTTTCTTCTTGATCGATAAATTGCTAAAACGCTCGAAAATGTTTACCTTCTAATTCAACAAACAGAAATAGAGAACGCGATCAAATAAATTATTATGTGAATAATTTATATTTCAAACGATTAGCCGAAGGCTAAACATGAGACATATGAGCGAAATTTAAGTGTACACAGGAGACGAAATAAATTGACACACGCATGCGACCAAGTTTATTAACCTTATCGACTTTACTCCATTTACCGAAATATCAGAAATACATAAAGTATGCCAAGTATTGAACAACACATAAATTAAAGTAAAGTAATAAATAAAAACTGATTAATATAAAATTAGATTTAAATTTTGTGAAAATTTTATTTGAAATAACGAATGCTATTTTAGAAAAAAAATATTTTCTCGAAAAAAAATAACAGGAAACTACTCAGGTTATCGCTTCTCAGCATATGCAAATTGAAATCTAAAACAAAAAATTGCCTCTGCTCTCAAGACAACCCTTTAGTGGACAAATCAAATAATCACTAAACTATACTCTCTCTAAAATGTTTGTCAAAGAGATTCATTGAAGAAGAAGATATTTTATACTGTGTGCATTGAATATTCGTAATTTAATACTTCCTTTACTACTTAATCGGAAATTAATAATAAGATTACGATTTAAATCTGTCAAGTTATATTTTTATTATGCGTAGATCATACCAGCGTTTTTGTGTGTATTTGCTTAAAATAAAGGTGCACCCAAAAAAAGATAATCTAATTGTAAAGTGAAATTTCCGTTAACCTCATATTCTAAGCAGAAACTTTTACAGAAAGAGTATTTCTCTTCCAATGCACTGGACTATTTATCAAAAATATATTGGAGATTATTCTAACAGTTTTCCTCTTGTATGAAGAGGAATATATTTACTGAAAGTGAAGTGCTTTCTTACGAGTAAATTATATTAGAAACAGCAAGATTTTTACTGCAGATGCAAAACAAAAGTACTCTAACTGTAAGAATATTGTGTTTAGCATATTTTCCTCTTGATTTCAGAAGATTCCTCTTGAGGCCGTATATAAGAATAAAATCCTCTAAGATTTAATGGTTTCTGCTAATATTAAAATCATTTTTTTTTTAGTGTGGGAAATCTGTACAAATCTATATTATAACGAATATTTTTTAGGTAAGATGGACAGTGCTTTTACTCTGCTTATTATCGGCAATTTCTGGTCAATTGGACCTACCGCCCTACAGAGACGACGATGCTGCTCGACAACCACTACCACCCAATGAAATAAATTACCAGAACATCCTAGCTAGATTAGATTTCCTAGGCGCAGAGAGATGTAGTGCTAATGTGATAGCTCAATGGGCATACGAAACTAATGTCAATGAATACACGCAGCTACAAGCGGTAAAGTATCACTGAATTTAAACTCTATTTTAAAGAAAAATGTTTTAATTTTACTAAATAAGAATTTTAATTTGATATTTTATTTTATACACTAAACAAATTTTTATAAATATTTCATCTAAAAATATTTTGTCATGATACTTGAACTCATTAAACAGATTCGGAACTTTCTCGTTAACCAGACTGACAATTTCGAAACTTTAAAACGCACAACCCGCATGGCCTATCCCTCTTTGCAATTTAGGCTATCTTATGAAATACGATGTTTTCGCAGGAACGTGTCGGTGATACAACAAATTCACGAATATTGGAAAAACTTCGTTTTGTTTATAATCTAGATGGTAACTTAGGAATAAGATTTAATTAAAATTTAAAAGAACACACACACACACACACACAAAATACTTAATTGAAAAAAATAGCAGAAACTGACTTTATTATAATCCATGTAAAATTAAAAATTAAAGCTCAGAAGTATACAAACATACTTTCAAACATCACAATAAAAAATCTTTTACGCATATCGGTGCTGTAATTACTGTTGAAATTAAAAAAATATTAGATAAAGAGATTAAAGAAACTACCGAAGAGAGTGTGAAGATGCAATTCTAAAGGCAATAATTTAGAAAGGCTGGGTTTTTTCAACGTTGTAACAAAGTGCAGCGACAACCGTGGAAAACGAGTCACGTACAATCGTATATTTCTCATCTACCCTGTACGAAACGTCTTCGAGGAGACCTCGACCTCCTCTCGGTATCCTCCCGCGAGACTCTTCGTGGCATCCGCACACATTGACTTGTCAATCGGCTGACAAACCGCCTGTGCACCGACGCTACCTCGCTGCCGACGATTTTCCCTGGCACGAGACGTGCTCGCATTGTCCGCGAAAGGCCGAACGCCTCCGCGGGAAATCTTCTCAGGCGATGGCATTGTCGTGATAATCATCCTGAACGATTGTGCAATATGGTTACCCGCCCCGTATCGCCGGGAAACAGGAGTTTTGTACTTTTCAATGCGAAACCTAGCGAGACTCGCATCGCGTGATGTTAATGATAATTAAGGCGATCACCGTTTCCCTTTTTTTGCGAAGAACGTCGACGTACATTGAACTATCGCGCTCGCCTCATTATCGCATAGGAGTTGTACATGAATCGATGAAACACGAACTGGACTAGACCTATACAAACTTGAATATTTATCTAATTCAAATTTAACCTCTATTCCCTTCAAAGTAGTTTCCTTCTACATTTAAACAATGATCCTACAATACTAGAAATTTTTATCTAAATAATACTTATTTAAGTATTTATGCGATTAGCCTAGATGTCCTTGACCATACCAAAGAATTAAATAAATATTCAAAATTTTATAGTCTGATTCAATTTCTTTTTAATTCATTATATATTAATCTTTAAAAAGCCGGGGTATATTTTTTAAATTTTACAGCTTTCCCTTGGATGAGATTTATTATAATTTATTATTTCATTGTATTTTTTGCTTCAAAATACGACACTGTTTCAGCATCATTATAGTAACTTTTCCGTTCTAGAAAGATTAATAATTAGTCATTGAAATTATTTATGAGTCAATTGATTTTTGTATTAGTAACAAATAATTATAAAGTAGTTAATTATATACACATACATATATACATATATTTTTGTAATTCTTTGGCAGCGTGAATACATGAGCTGTAATAATCTTACAGTGATCAGATGACAAAAGTTATGTTGCATACATATATTACGTGCCCCGATTTGATTCTTAACGCACGTTGTCATTGTACGTGGAAATATACCACACAACTGGAATTTACATTTGCGTATTATCCGGATATGTCATGCGGTTTTTTATATAATAATAAATGTATGATACGTAAATATATTCTACACAGCACAATTTATCTGAGGGACGTCCAGGGATCGTCCTAGAGACGTAGACGTCCTCTGGACATCTTTAGAACATCTCTTGGAGGTCTGCGCTGTATGAATTGTTATAAATTTCAATGTACTAAATGTAATAAATATTATTATAAATTTTAAGTTATCTATTTAAGCATAACGCGTTATGTGATAATTGCGTAATTAAACTTTAATAAATAAAGATTACATTTAAATATACAAGTTCTCAAATGCGATTTCACTTTCTTAGCTACTTTTCTTTGAATGCAGGTTACTGCCAGGAAAAGCATAGATACGACGGTTTTATCTCTAACGGTAAAACCGTCGTTCGCCTATTCGTGTTTGACTGCAACTGCGTTTCCTAATCAGTCGCCGAGAGATTAGTTCTCTTGCGTCATGTAGTTAACATGTTACGTTAATTAATACAATTGCACATGTTATATTAATTAAAGCAATTTCACAATTAATACAATTAAGATTCAATACAAAATAATACGTAATTTTGGTTATATGAAAATAATTAGGACGACTTATCTATCTCTCCGTCAGCCCAATAAAAAAAAACGTTTTGTTTCATTTCACATGAGAATTGCCTTCAATATTTTGCTTTACGCTTTCAGCTGGATGCCCAACGCTTATATGCGGACTTCCAATACCAAGCATGGCTTTTAATCTCGAGAATCGACATAAATTCTATTCGAGACCCCATCATCAGGCGACGACTCCGTTATTTGTCCGTGGTGGGCCCTTCAGCACTACCACCTGATCAACTGGACAGGGTAAATGCTTTGTTTATACAAGCAATTAAATCACTGTTTAACAGATAATATGCGTGACTGTAAATATAGTAGTAATAAAATTATGACAGTTTTAGCAATAATGACATTATTCTTTTTACAGTATAATCGCTTAATCAACGACATGCTTGCGATTTATAATGGAGCGACCATATGCGCTTACAACGATCCGTTCCGGTGTGGACTGCGTTTATATCCAGGTAATACATCACGAATTACACTGAATAACGATCAGATCGGTACGATGCCGTCGGCATCGTTCACGGTTCGTCGCCGCGAAATTCCACGGATTTACGTAAGTCCAAAATGCGCATGAAAGTGTGAAGAAAATAAGATACGTCACGCGAGCGCGCGTATGCCCCGCGAGTGGAAAGGAAGGTCCCTCTTCTTCTTTTCCGTTAATTTATGAAAACTTCTGCGCCGCGCTGTATGCGCTTCTAATTGTCTGTTATCTTTATGTTTAATGTAAATCCCCGTACACGCCCATTTAGAACGCAAAGCGAACACAATCCGAGGCATCACAGAACATGCGCAAATAGAAAGCAAACAATTAATTAATTGAGCGAAGACACTACGCAGTTATATAGTATAGTTTAATAACTAAGAACATAATGACTCGTTCGTGTTTAACGTGTTCCATGAAATGATAATTGGCTGCGCCCGAGCTCTGAAAATGAAGGAATTCAATTTACGCGAATCAATGAAGAAATTTATGGTTTAGGCTAATAATTTTGAACAAAAACTTACTCTTTAATTTTAGTATTTACATCACGAAATACGCTGAATAACGATCATTTTTTTTCAATAAATTTTTATTCAATAAATTTTGTTTATATTCTCAAAAATGAGGGAAAAAGAGCCGTTATGCCATTGATAGTTTTCCTAAAATTTGTCTTAAAAAATTTACGTAGCACAAAAGTTACTCACGAGATATTCCATAAATATCTTATGCGGATACATAACGATACATGACGCATCTAAAAGTTATATACTTCCTCACCGCATTATTTATATTACAGATATATCGCAAATCATGGCGAAAAGTCGGGATTGGGACGAATTGCAGTATGTCTGGACCGAATGGAGAAGACGAAGTGGCAGACCGATTAGGGATCTATATCATCAACTTATTGCGCTGACCAATGATGCTGCAAGAATGAATAGTACGTCTAATTTTAATTCTATGCCGGAAGTATGACACGTCAAATGGAATCCCCCCAATGCTAATGAAGTCGGTCAGCGTATAATTCCGTTTCATGCAAGATTGCAAAAAGATCCTAGTATTGAACCTAATTTTTATCGTCAGAAATCTTTCACATTTTTAATTTATAGCGAGTGACAAGATTATTTCATTGGGATTAATTAATAGATATGTATGAAATATGATATGAAAATACGCGTTAATTAAGTTATATTAAAAGTTACTTCAGATGTTGAGGGTTAATGTTATACTCTTATTTCTTTTTGTAGACTTTACTGATGCCGCCGAATATTGGATGTTCCCTTACGAATCTCCTAATTTCCAACAAGACATTGATGAAGCTTGGGAAACGATACGTCCGCTTTACGAAGAACTACATGCTTATATTCGCAGAAGGCTGAGAGATCTCTACGGTCCTGAAAAAATTGGCGCACACACACCTCTTCCGTCTCATATTCTCGGTAAAAATAACGTCACGAAATATATCGATTAGTATTTTTTAAATATTTTATTCCATGGATATATCGTTAGCAATTAATTACTTACACGGAAAGAACAATTTTGAAGTAGGTCTAAAAATTAGACTAAATATAGATCTGAAAATAATTTTTTGTTGGATAATCAAAATAATTATATAGGATGCTCAAGGTAGTTTTTAGAATGTCGACATTTTTTGCAACATTACTTATAATACTTAAGCGTCATAATTATTTTAATGGTCCAACAAAAAATTATTTTCAGATTTATATCAAGCTAATTTTTAGGTATTTTAGAAAATTGTTGTTTTCCATATGTAATTATTCGTTTTTATGTAACTATACTGTTTTTTTACTCATTACTTATTATTAGGTAACATATGGGGACAGTCTTGGACTAATCTTTTGGATGTTACTTTGCCGTATCCGGGTAAAACCTACCCCGACGTCACGCAGGAAATGCGAGCTCAAGTAAGATCCTCTCCTTGTCTTTTTTATTTTATAATCAATATATATTGTAGGGTAAGTGGTCCAACAATGAACCATGTAAATTTCAGAGGCTCGTATTTCTCTCAATTATTGAATTAAAAGTCTGAATTTTTGCATACAGTTTATGAATTTAGTTGACTACATACCGTAAATAATAACTTTTAAGTTATCCCTAAAGTTTAATTACAATTTCGATTATTTTAAAAAACGGGAAATGGTTCATTGTGAACAAGGGATGTTACACAATGAACCATGCTATTTTTAATAATGATTTATATGTTTTATACTGCGAATTGTTGGGATTATTTTAGTTTTGCTATATTTTAAAATTTAAAATGTTTATTTACAAAATAGATAATTATAAGGTGGTGAGGATTCACAAGGTCGACCACCGCGTTTTTCTTTCGCTTTGAGTGAAAACGCGTCAAATAAATATATTTTTATTGAAATTTTAGGTGGGGAGAGGGGCTGTATTCTAAATAATTATTACAATGAATTATTATTTTGAAGGTTATCGTAAAAAAGGTTATGTGGTCTACAATATACCATGGTTCATTGTTCACTACGTCAAAATGATTCATTGAAGACCACCTAGCCTTTTCCACGATAATTCTCTAAATAATGTGGTAAAATAATGTAATAGAAAAAGTTACTTACAGAATAATAAAGCCAAATGTGCACATAAAACTATTGCACAATGAAAAAAATTATAGGTATAGCAACAAAAACATAAAAAATACGTAAAACTTACGAAAAAAATTTACTTTGTCATCCAAAATTCTTAAAATGTGACATTACATGGTCGTTCTTGGCGCGATCTGCCAGTCGACTGGAGAGCCGAGGAGGAGTTCAAATGCGAGTCGCTGCATGATAGCAGCACAATCCGATAATGTTGCATTTACGAAATATCGTAATGGTTCATAGTGTACTATTGGTTCACTGTTGGACTACCTACCCTATATATTATATATAATAATTTAGAGAAAAAAAGAAAATCTTGTTAAAATGTCTAAATATATTTAAGTAGATTAGAACTGAAAACAACACTTTATTAGACAGTCAAAATAATTATGACGCTTTAAGTATGAATAATCTAGCTCAATTTTTAGATACTTCAACCATTCTTTTGTGGTTTTAGAGGATATAACCACTAGTTGATAAATACTACATGTAACTAATATTATATTGTGTATTACTAGGGCTATACTCCTATTGACATGATTCGGGTGGCCGAGGAATTCTATCTGTCTTTGAACTTGAGCGCATTGCCACCGGAATTCTGGGCCGGAAGCCTAATCGCCGATCCTGGCGACCGCCCATTAATTTGTCAGGCGTCCGCATGGGACTTTTGTAATCGCATAGATTACAGGTTAATACGTTTATCTATAATTTTACTCAACAAAAGCATGTTGCAGGCATTAAACATTTTTGCTTATTAAACTTGTGCTGTTAAAATTATAAAATAGGAATAAGAATTTTTAATTTGTTATTTCTATGCTTAGAATCAAAATGTGTACAAAAGTGACGATGAAGGATTTGATAACTTTGCATCACGAAATGGCACACATTCAATATTTCTTGAGGTACAGTGGTCTACCTCGAGAATTTCGTGACGGCGCTAATCCAGGTAAATACTTTTGAAATCTTTAATTTACACATATATACACACACACACACATATTTAAGTATACACATATTTTCTATAATTAATATATTAAATAAACACAATAAATTTAAATTTAAATTTAGAATCATAACGCGATCAATCTGCGTGCGATTGTTAATTGAAGATCAAATTTACTGGATTAATTTATAAATTTCAAATTTTATACAATTATTATTATAAATTTTACGGAACTCAAAAGATAACAAAAAATCGAGCAAGATAGAAATCAAGATTAAAACAATAATGTATATATACATATTTTCTATAATTAACATATTAAATAAATACAACAAATTTAAATTTAAATTTAAAATTATAATGTGATCAATCTGCGTGCGATTGTTGATTAAAGATAAAATTTACTGGATTAACTGATAAATTAAAAATTTTTATAATTATTATTATAAATTTTACGAAATTCAAAAAATAAAAAAATTGAGCAAGAAAAAACAATAAAACAAATAGCAAAATACGAAACAAATTTTTAATTGTCAAAATAAAATTGTATAGTATTTTTTCTTTGTCTCTGTCTTTCTCAATATATAAAGGAATACAAAACGATTGCTTATTATAAAAACATTAAGACAGTTTAAAAAACTACGGGACATCACATCCGCTTTTAACAATGTTGATATTTTGTGTGATGCGTAAGTGCATTAATTGGAAATTGCGTCATGCCGGGAAGAAAAACGCGAACAAAAGACTATAAAACTGCCGGTGATGGCATGCGTGCCGGATAGACGACATCGCGTTGCGTAAGAGCGACTCTCGGGTCCGACTCTCGGCCGACTTCCGGAAGGCACAGCCGACCTGTGTACGTCTTACGGCTAATAGCGCGAAAGCGAGAGCGAGTACGACACGCTCGAGGTGTACGCCGCGTGCTACGGTACTCGCGAATAGGCGAGTAGATGTTACTCTCGTACATTGGCGTCGGGCGCACGTCAAAATATTTTTATTACGGTATAATCGCGCTTTCACCGTAGCAACGGCCGGCCCGGTCGTTCGCCTCACACCGGAACACGGATTGTTTTGAATCAACGAGAACAGCTTCGCATCGGTGGCCTTGTCGATCGTTTGATACTGACTTCGCGTAAAATCTGCAAACATCAAATCCATGATGTAAAGAGACCAGGTGTAACATTACGTATAATGACAGCTAAATATAAATTTGAGAAAAAATGACCAAAAAAATGACCAATTTTTGGTTGGTCACAAATGTCATTATTTTGAACAACTGCACATCCCTGAAATTATTAGTTAGACCTGGTCTTCTTATATTATGGTCAAATCTATACTCAGTGTCCGTCACGAAGACGATCTATCGCTCCTGTTAAAACCCGTTTCGTTATACAATTCAAAATTTTATTTCAGAATCACTTCGGCAACAAATTTTGTCTGCATTCTTCAATAATTTTTATCGTAGATTTTCATCTGCATTCCGCACCTTCGTATTTGTAACGCCTAATTAAAGTTAGTTTCAAGTTACGAAATCACACTACTATTAATTATGCGTTCAAGGCGTGTGTGCGGTTTGCATGGGGAAATGTGATTGAAGAAAAGGGAAATAATCAGCATCATCTGCCACGCTCAACAAATCCGCGCTAAACGTAATTACATCCTGGTTAATACTAAATCGCACTAAGCGCAAAAAGTCACCGGGTTATCCGCAGAGAACCTCGAGAAACTTTGCGATAATCGTAGACGGAACTCAACGACAAACCATCTGTTTAGTCTGACGTCGACTTTCACCGTTCGATTATCAAACAACCAAACTCCTTTAAAACGTCCACAACGAAACTCGAAATCTAAAATCAAGAATTATATTATACAGTGGTTATAGTGTTTGAAGTAGATTAAAGATCTTTCATTATTCAACTATAAAGATAACTTGTCGTAATCATAAACATAATATCTAATAACAACGTAAAAGAAAGATAAATCCATATTGACCCACTGATAACTACTATTATAAAATCTATTACAAGCAAAACGTTTTCCAATAACAACCGTCGAAGAAAACAGCTGTGATGATTTTCACGACTCTTTATCTAGTTATTACATATTATTATACCAAAACTTATTACTATAATCATCAGGATTCCACGAGGCGGTCGGCGAAGCCGTCGCCTTGAGCGTCACGACGCCGCAGCATCTGCAAACTCTGGGCCTGGCGAACACGTTCATCGATGAACGCTCCGCGGACATAAACTACCTCTTCGCCTTGGCTATGGATAAACTGGTGCTGCTGCCCTTCAGCATCGCGATGGATAGGTGGCGATGGGACGTTTTCCGCGGTTTCGTCAATAAAGAGGAGTATAATTGTCACTGGCACAGACTGAAGGAGCAATACACGGGCACGAAGCCACCAGTTCTGCGATCCGAGGACGATTTCGATCCAGGAGCGAAGTATCACATCCCGGCCAATATTCCCTACATACGGTGAGTACTTCTCATATTTCAAACATTATCTTGATCTTCATTACGATCGATCTCGCGTAGATATAGAAATTATGAGGTCAGTATATTTTTAACTCTTCCGACGATCTTTGTAATTGCGTTAGCGGTAATTAAAATATAATGTGAAACACGTGTGAAAATTGCGACATTATAATAATGGGAAAAATCGTACAGTAAAAATCATACAATAATATTATCTTTTTTGCAATAATAATATTATCTGATAAATTGCACAGCATTTATGTTCTGCAGGGTACGTTGTTATTTCAACAAGTCTAGTCTTGCTGATTTGGCAATAAAAGAACACCTGCTACGTACTTTCATATGTAGTTTCCAATACGCCCGAAGCGGATAATCCCGTTGCGAACAATTCTGCGTAGCCGCGTGCCTCGTGCACGAGATCGGCGATTTCACTTTTGATTCGCGATCCCGCGTGCTCCTCCTCCTCTTGTGATCTGTTCATTGGTAGATCAGGAGAAAGAGAGGCACGCGGGAGTCCTTTCTCCAACTCTCGTTACACACGTTTGCAGCTAATATGATGCGCGAATGAATCGGTCTAATACCTGAGATTCGCACGATCTGAATGATAGGTCGCGAGGCAGAACAGGGACGCTGATATCATCGAATCGGAAGTGTTACGTATGCACTCTTTCCTTCGTTAGTCATGCTAGATAAAAGAAAGTCCTTTTTCCATCGACCGTACGAGGCTTAATTACGCATAGAGACTTTAGCTAATTATCGGGCGAATTTCCGCGTACACGCTGCGGCCAAAATTACGAAAATGGCTTTCGCCGGCTCTACCTCTCTTTCCGACTCTTCGCCGCGCCGGAACAAGGAACCGGAACACTGTCTCGGTTACAATCAAATGCCGCTCGTGCGGAGCGAATACAGTGCACTGTATCGAATGCACGCGATCGGAGATAAATAATTTGTCACGCTACACGAAGTTCAAGGATATTGACGCTGGCGTGAGAAACGTAAACAGAGAAAATCTGTCTCGTAATATATAAATCACTTTACTGTTCAACTGCTTGATCTCCAATGAATGTCAAAGAAATCTAACTATACTGACTGAGCTGAATATATTAATTTGATTTTACCTAATTCAATTTCGCTCGCAAGGGAAAGGAGTACAAGAGCTGCAAATTGCTTAGTATGCAAAATTTATTAAAGAAGGTCAAGCATATAAAAATAAACAAGTTTTCATATCTCTTCTAAAGAATGGCAATGAGGCTAGGATGAATTCCAAGGCTGTCGTTTTGCTCTTTGGTTTTATTAGAAAGAAGCGAAAGACATCGTACAAAGACGTTCGTTACAAGTTCCGAACGTCGTAAGAAACATAGTACATATGTTCTCGTAGGTATTTAAGTTGTCGATACTATATATCTAAGAAATCGTTAGCGCTGTCTAAGCAGACTCGGAGACCCATAATCATCTTTCACGGCGCAAACCGGCTATTCTGCAAACTCATCTTTCCCTCGTCGGATCTCGCGGCGAGAACGACGTTAAGTTAGAAAAATAAATACGTCCGCGTTTTCCTCGCAGACTTACACTTCGAAAAATAAAAGTCGAGACTCACGAGTGCCGAGGAAACGCTTCGTTAACGCTCCCGTATGAAAGATTAGCCGTTTACCGCGTTACGAATCGCATTGCTCTATGATTTTCTTCTCGACGCAATGCGTTTGAAAAACATGTAGAAGAAATGTTATTGCGATATTCCGTAATGCGCGCCGACACGTTCCTTCGTATGATGCAGTGGAGAATTTGAAAATGTTGGGCCCCTCTATGAATCACTTACCCAGTCTATCTGTATATCTCAAATTTAATTTCTACAAATTAACACGATCTAATTCTATTTTTTTTTTTTTCATGAATATATACACAATTTAATACAATTTAATGTTTTTATATACAAATTGACTAAAATCACATTGAGTCGAATTAAGAAATTTGATTATTTACGTTTGATTATTACTTCATCTTAACGCATTTCCTTTTCTCTTTCGTTAATTTCTTTTCGAATTGAAAAAGAAAAAAATCCTCCACTGCCACGCTTTTTGATATTAATAGTGTCCCGAATATCCCCCGAAGCTGGACTCGTAGTCACCTCCATCTCCAGAGTCGTGCTCGTGCACTGGTACCGCAATCGGCACTTTTATGGGATACGGTACCGGTTTGGGCACCGGCACAGCCACTGGCTTCGTCACGTGAACCGGCACGGGTCGTTCGACAGGCACTTTTACGGCATAGGGCACCGGTTTCTCGACCGGCACAGGTACTGGCTTCTCTACTGGATACGGCGCCGGTACCGGTACTTTAATGTGGTAGGGCACTGGTTTCTCTACGGGCACTCCTACTGGTCGCTCCACATGAACTTTGACTGGGTAGGGTACTTTCTTCTCAACTGGATACGGTACTGGTTTCTCGACCGGGACCGGATACGGTTTAGGCACGTGTACTGGGTACGGTCGTTCAACGGGCACTGTCACGGGGTACGGTACTGGTTTCTCCACGGGGAAGGGTTGCGCTACATGCACTGGAACCTTCACAGTGTACGGCACGGGCTTCTCCACTGGGAACGGTTGCGGTATCGGTACTTTCACTGGATATGTTATTTTCTTTTCGACTGGATACGGCTGGGGGATATATACTTTGTAGGGTACCGGTCTTTCTACCGGCACGTGAACCGGATAAGGCACCTTCTTCTCGACGGGATACGGCTGCGGTATGTGAACCGGTATCTTTACCAAAACCTTCACCGGTACCGGGATCTTTTTCTCGACCGGATATGGCTGCGGTACTGGCACTTTAACCGGATACGGTACTTCTTTTTCCACCGGGTAGTGAACCTTCTTCTCGACTGGATAAGGCACCTTCTCGGTCTTCACGATTGTGATCTGCTTGATCTTGCCACCATCGTCGCCACCGCCACCGCCACCGCCACCGCCATAACCGCCATCATGACCACCGCCATCGCCGCCACCGTAACCACCATCATAACCACCGCCAATGTCGTGTCCGCCACCAATATCTCCGCCGCCGATATCGTGGGAAGTCTCATAGCCGCCGCCGCCGTCGCCACCATAACCGCCACCATAACCGCCACCATAACCGCCACCATCATCATGTCCTCCATAGTCTGCCTCGAGGTGAATCAGTCCGCGCTTTTCCTGTTTTTTCTCTCGTTCAGCATTTTTGCTCGGCTTACTCGTAATCTCCTTTTTCTTCTCACACACGGCCAAGGCCAGCAGCCCCACTAACACCGTGAGAAACTGTAATCGAAACGTCATACTGATTACATCAGTCGCTTACTGTTGCAGCATCAATGATTTACTTCTCGGAAAAATGCTATTAAGTACAGTTGTTAATGGCCTTGTCAATACGACATAGTGTAGCAGATTACATAAAATATGTAAGCCTGACTATCTAGATCAACTATTTCTTTTTTTGTTCCTCGACTGTGTTTATTAAATTTACTTTTATTATATAGTCTAAGCAACATTAATCAATTTAAATGGCTTTTAAACTAACTTTTAAATAATGGTTTAAAAACTAACACTTCTCACGGTTAATATGCATGTTTGAAATCTCGATAAGATGATGTAGGCAAGATGATTAAACGAAGCTAATTTGAGAATCTAAGCTCAACTAATTTCGCCCCGAACGAAAGAGCGAACTTACCAAAATTCTCATGTCTACCAAGTCTCTCACGATCTGGTCAATATCCAGACTTTACTGAATGCTTCCCCCCAAGATGCCACCGTCTTTATAGCCCGCTTTCCCCCGACGTGTACCAAGCGAGCCCCTCTGCACTCTCGGGGAAAAGTGAAACACGCGTCTGGCGCTCGCCCGACGTACACGGCGCGTTATGGCATTTTTTTTTTTATAAATCCTAGACACAAGCTGCAGTGCTTCCATAATCGCGAGCAACGGCGTAGCCACTGTGGAAAATTACGGAACACCGGAAGTTCCTTCTCAACAGTAATATTAAAAAGAATCAAAACTAGAAAGTACGTTCGTCGGAAATGAGAATGTTTTACAACTACCTGTCACTCAAAAATAAACACAGAAGAAAAGACGTTTAAAATTCTATAACGATTATATAATGTGAAATTCTGATACGAATGAGGAAACATTTTATCAAAAAAAAATTAAAAAAGATATCTGTAAAAAATTGTCTTCAGATTCTCTAAAAAATTCTCTAGGTGCGTTACGCTCTTTTGCTAAATAATGATGTATAATCTCCCCAAATCAACTCACGATCGTTCTATCATCAGTCTAAGGATCTTTCGTCCTTTTGATCCTGTCTATCTACGCCACTGGGCGCGTATATAGATGCGTTTCCATTTCTCCTTCGCTATCATTACCCTCCTCTTTTCAACCGAGCCAATCTTTCTCCGCCATCCATCTCGTAGAAGTTTCTCGCTCGTGCGTACCGTCCGGCAGGATTTCGCAGTGACCCCCTCCGTATCCGGTCCCCACGGAAGGACACGCGGTATACTGTATGTACGAGTTCTCTCGGCCGAGACGAGGAACATGACGATGGAGACTTAACGGTCTCCCTTGCGGTCCGAGGGAGAGCGCGAGAGGAAGAATCAGAAACGGTAGGAGGAGAGAAAAAGTGAAAAGTGTCCGGTGAGAGGATGGTGGGACGGGGCAAGGAGAAGAAATAGATCTTAAGAACACTGCGCCGATGTGAGATTGACCGCGTTTATCCACTGTTTCCTAGGAGCACCACACGGCAAATTGTCTCACTACGAGTTGCTCCAATTGGAAGATATACTTTTAAAATACTTGATATTAATACGAGAAAAATAACGTCTCTAAAAGCATACAGCGATAATAAATGTAATTAAGATTGGATTCGAACAAGTTTATGATACAAAATAATATCAAACGTTTTATACTTACTAATTATTGCGTCCGCATAGCGAATTTAATTATTCATAACAATTAGAAAATATGCTAAAAGGATTATGTAT